ATCCTCCGCCGCATTCTCAAGCCTCTCCATCAACCTAGATTCGTTGCAGAGATGTTGGTAATTAACCTCTCTCTCCCTCCATCTTTCCTTATTTAATTATTGCATGTCATGTGACAAAAAATTATTAATACTCCCACAATATTCATATGTCATTATGTCCGTGGTGTATTCCTAACAAAAGAGAAATCTTAATCTCAAAAAAAAAAAAAAGAAATCACAATAAGTAGGTCATCATTTTTCTCTCAACTAACTAATAAATGTGAGTCTATATTTCCTACCTATAAAATTTTTTACTACCTTATTAGTTTGGAATATCATATGAACAATGTCACATGATACTCTGAGACTGCTAAATAAAGTTTAAATATCGACATTTACGTAACGAAATTTTAATCTTCTACTATCGTTATTCATTAATATATTAGCCGATACTATTCAATATCAACCAACATATGACAATAGCACCCGACATTGATACATATCTAGATAGTACAATTTAAAATCATTCTACTAAAAAACCAATACATACAAAAATAAAAAATAAACCAACTTTTTCCTGAAAATGTCAAAAAAAATCCATAAAATACCAAAACATACAAACCACAACAAAAAAATAATAATAATAAATAAATAAATAAAACACTAATGCGTTACTTACTTTTAATGGCAAATTTAACATTAAGTTATTTGTGCTAATTTTTTGTTCTGTTTCTTTCTGAAAAGCATGTTATTGCTATGATTGAGCTAATTGGGACTTAGATATCATTATTCACTAATAAATCGGATGATACTATAAAATGTATACAGATAGTAATGTAACTATAACAGTTGATTTTAGTTTGCAATTTGGTATTGTGGGAAGATCGTTAAAAATTGATTTTTAGCTTGTAACTAAGCTTTTTGATTTTTTTAGAAAGTGATTTGAAAAGTTGGTAAAAAGTTATTTTTGAATTTTTTAATTAATATGGTCAAAACATCAAATCATTCATGGTGAAGCCCACTGCCACATCATTAGTGATAGCATTAATTAGTGCTCTCACTCAATTTCCTTGTTTATGATGTTACATCACAATAAAATGATCAAAGTACTCCCACCCAATTTAGAAAATTTATATTTTCACCCATATATAACCCTAAAGAATATGGAGGGTATAATTATAATTTCATATGTAACTTTTTTAGACTTTTCCAAAGGACTTATGTTAAAAAAAACTAATCTAGCTTTATTGGACAAGCTACAAAGCGCAGCTTTTAACCAGTTTTTAACCAAAGTTCCCAAATGGGCACAATGATGTTATTATGTTGTTTTCCCATATCATCATACTGGAATACTCTTACGCCATGTTTGTTTGGGCGGACTGGATTAGTATTCCCATGACTAATAATCCTAGGATTACGAATCCGTTGGATTATGTATGCTATCTTAACTAATAGTCAAGTTTAAAATAATTAGTCCGCACTTCAATTGTTTAACCAAACATCGGATTAATAATTTTATTGGACTATTAGTCCAATCCCAAGCTCATGTCCACCCAAACAAACATGTCATGCTAATTCTATGTCTTCTAATCTTGTTTCTGTTCAAAAGTTGGCTAAGGATAATAATTGCATTATTAGTTTTGATGACGCCAATTTTATGATTCAGGACAAAGTTACGAAGAGAATTCTTCATCAAGGATCTAACCTCAATGGATTATACCATTTTCTTCCATCAGTCACTAGCACATCTACTTCTGCTGCCTTTGCTGCTCCAAACACAGCATCACTCCCATCTGCTACTACTCATGTACTAGATTCTGTTGTCAATAAGTCATTGCCTACTTCTAGTATTGTATGGCATAATAGATTAGGTCATCCTAGTAGTTTGAAATTTCAGCATCTAGTTCCTCATTTACAGCTTACTACAAATAAATCTGTTAAGTCTCTTGATTGTATTGACTGCTGTGTTGCTAAGAGTCATCGTTTACCTTTTCAATTGTCTAATTCTTCTATAAATGCACCTCTTGCATTGATCCATAGTGATGTTTGGGGTCCCTTTGAATCTACATCTGGCTTCAAATATTATGTTCTCTTTGTGGATGATTTTAGCAAATTTACATGGCTATATCCTTTGGCTTATAAAAGTGAGGTGTATGATAAGTTTCTTGAGTTTAAAGCTTATGCTGAAAAACAATTCTCTACTTCACTCAAGATTCTCAGAACTGATGGTGGCACTGAATACTGTAATAAGAAAATGAAAGTTTTTACCACGGCTCACAGCATTATGCATCAAACTTCTTGCTCATATAAACCACCACAAAATGGAGTGGCTGAGAGAAAACACAGACATCTCACTGAAGTTGCTATAGCCTTGTTACATCATTCCTCTGTTCCTCTTCATTTTTGGTTTGATGCTCTTGCTTGTGCTACTTATTTGATTAACAGATTGCCTTCTTCTAAGTTGGGTCACAAATCTCCCTTTGAAGTTTTATTTCATCATCTTCCAGACTTTGCTTTTCTAAGAACTTTTGGTTGTCAATGTTTTCCATGGTTAAAACCATATAACTCTACTAAGCTGCAGTCTAAATCCGTTGCTTGTGTGTTTTTAGGCTATCATTCTTTTGCTAAGGGTTATAGATGTTTGGATCCCATGACAGGTAAGGTTTACTTATCCAGGCATGTTGTGTTTAATGAACTTGTTTTTCCTTTTGCTATGGCCACACTTCCTACTCCTTCTACTTCCTCTATTTCTTCTTTACCTCAGCTTCAGTCTTTCTTCTGGTCCTCTCCAGCTGTTAACCTGTCTCCAAGTTCGGTTGCTGCTCCAAGTTCTGTTACTGCTCCCATCTCTGCTACTGTTCCTATTCCCCGCACTTTTACTTCTCATCCGGTTCAGTTTCCTACTCCTGTTTCTTCTCCATCTGTTGCACCTGTACCTATTCCCATTTCCTCTATTTCCATTGATTTACCTCTTCCTCCTCCGTCTAATGTCCATCCCATGGTTACTCGATCCAAGTCTTCTTCCCATTGTTTGATTCATACTAATTCTCCACAGCCTTCTCCTCTATCTGCTCCTCTCTATTCTGATATTGAACCTCCTTCCTATAAGGAAGCTCTTCTTTCTCCTATCTGGCATAAAGCCATGACAGATGAAATTGATGCCTTACATAACCAAAAGACTTGGTCCTTGGTTTCTTTGCCTCTCGCTAAAAATGCTATTGGTTGCAAGTGGGTTTTTCGCGTTAAACGAAATTCCGATGGTACTATTGCTCGGCATAAGGCTCGTCTTGTTGCCAAGGGATATCTTCAACAGGCCGGTGTTGATTTTCAAGAAACTTTCAGCCCCGTGGCTAAACTTCCCACTATCCGCATTGTGATTTGCTTGGCTCTTCATTATGGTTGGTCCCTGAACCAGTTAGATATTTCCAATGCTTTCTTGCATGGTATCCTCGAAGAAGAGGTGTTTATGCTCCAACCACCTGGGTTTGTTGATTCAGCTCATCCTCACCATGTCTGTCATCTCCACAAAGCTTTATATGGGCTCAAACAGGCCCCCCGAGCCTGGTACTCCACATTTTCCACCTATCTACTCTCTCAAGGATTTTCCAACAGCAAGTGTGACTCTTCCTTATTTATTCAGAAATTGGGCTCCAATATTACTATTCTTTTAGTCTATGTTGATGACATATTGCTTACTGGCAATAATCCTTCTCATATTCAGTCCCTTATCTCTCATATGCACACAGCTTTTTCCATGAAAGAACTCGGTAACCTCTCTTACTTCCTTGGTATTTCTATCACCACCACTGCTGCAGGCTATGTTCTGTCTCAAACTAAATATGCTCAAGACATTCTCCAGAAAGCCGGTCTCGCTGCCTGTAAGCCATGCTCCTCTCCCATCTCTATTAAGCCCACTCCTCCTCCCAATGCTGCTCAGTCCTTTTCTGATCCTGCTCTTTATCGTAGTTTGGTTGGGGCTCTTCAGTATCTCACCATTACTCGACCCGACATTTCCTTTGCTGTAAATCAGTCTTGTCAACATATGCATTCACCCACTGTTGGCCATTTTGCTGCTGTGAAGCGATTGCTTCGGTTTGTCAAAGGCACTCTTACTCATGGTTTATCTTATTCTCCTAGTTCTTTTGATGTTCATGCATTCTCTGATTCCAATTGGGCTGGTGATCTCCTTGATCGTAAATCCACTTCCGGCTACTGCATTTTTCTGGGTGGTAATCTTGTCTCTTGGTCAGCTAAAAAGCAACCAACCGTGTCCCGCTCTTCGACTGAGGCCGAGTATCGATCTCTTGCTCATACTGCTGCTGAGTTAGCTTGGATTGGCATGCTTCTTCAAGATTTATCTGTTGTCTCGCCAGTGCTTCCTACACTTTGGTGTGATAATGTTTCTGCACTTGCCTTAGCCTCCAATCCTGTTTTTCATTCCCGCTCTAAACACATTGAGGTAGATTGTCATTATGTGCGTGATCAAGTTCTAGCTAAGAAGTTGCTTCTTCAGTACATTCCTACCATTGATCAGCTGGCTGACATCTTCACTAAGCCCCTTTCTGTTTCTCGGTTTTTGTATCTTAAAGCCAAGCTCATGTTGTGTCCATCTTCCCCCATTCGCTTGCAAGGGGATGTTGAGGATCCTAACACTGCAAACTCTGCAGATACTAACTCTGCAGAGTTACTTACTCAGCTACCAGATCAAGACAGCTCAAAGAGGTCATGAAGCTAGCTAAGGTCTCATTGTATCATTCCTGTGCTGCAGCTATATCTGATCATGTGCTTCAGTTAGTTAGATAGTTTGTTAGGTGGTTAGTTAGTTAAGAGTTAGTTATCTTCTTCTTGTATATATAGAGAAAGGGCTACTGGAATTTGTATTGATTAAAAATAGATTGAGTTGAATAATAAATCAATAAATACTGGTTCTGTGTTTTTCTTCAATTTAACTATTTCTCTTTGTGATCTTTCATCTCATTTTCATTGTAGAACAATTGAGCTCTGCAACTACAAGACGAACCATGTCAACAAACGATGGCAAGCCAGTCGTACTTTTCAATTTGACCCAGTTCGCTCCTCAGACCTGTGAATATTTTGGTTTATCAGTGAGCTCTAAAGGTTTGTTTCACAATGATGATCCTTTCGATCATCCTCTTCCAATTCTTCTCTTGGAGCTCGGGAGTGCTATTCTCATGATGGCGATCCTCCGCCGCATTCTCAAGCCTCTCCATCAACCTAGATTCATTGCAGAGATGTTGGTAATTAACCTCTCTCTCCCTCCATCTTTCCTTATTTAATTATTGCATGTCATGTGACAAAAAATTATTAATACCCCCACAATATTCATATGTCATTATGTCCGTGGTGTATTCCTAACAAAAGAGAAATCTTAATCTCAAAAAAAAAAAAAAAAAATCACAATAAGTAGGTCATCATTTTTCTCTCAACTAACTAATAAATGTGAGTCTATATTTCCTACCTATAAAATTTTTACTACTTTATTAGTTTGGAATATCATATGAACAATGTCACATGATACTCTGAGACTACTAAATAAAGTTTAAACATCGACATTTACGTAACGAAATTTTAATCTTCTACTATCGTTATTCATTAATTTATTAGCCGATACTATTCAATATCAACCAACATATGACAATAGCACCCAACATTGATACATATCTGGATAGTACAATTTAAAATCATTCTACTAAAAAACCAATACATACAAAAATAAAAAATAAACCAACTTTTTCATGAAAATGTCAAAAAAAATCCATAAAATACCAAAGCATACAAACCACAACAAAAAAATAATAATAATAATAAATAAATAAAACACTAATGCATTACTTACTTTTAATGGCAAATTTAACATTAAGTTATTTGTGCTAATTTTTTGTTCTGTTTCTTTCTGAAAAGCATGTTATTGCTATGATTGAGCTAATTGGGACTTAGATATCATTATTCACTAATAAATCGGATGATACTATAAAATGTATACAGATAGTAATGTAACTATAACAGTTGATTTTAGTTTGCAATTTGGTATTGTGGGAAGATCGTTAAAAATTGATTTTTAGCTTGTAACCAAGTTTTTTGATTTTTTTAGAAAGTGATTTGAGAAGTTGGTAAAAAATCATTTTTGACTTTTTTAATTAATATGGTCAAAACATCAAATCATTCATGGTGAGGCCACTGCCACATCATTAGTGATAGCACTAATTAGTGCTCTCACTCATTTCCTTGTTTATGATGTTACATCACAATAAAATGATCAAAGTACTCCCACTCAATTTAGAAAATTTATATTTTCACCCATATATAATCTAAAGAACATGGAAGGTATAATTATAATTTCATATGTAACTTTTTTAGACCTTTCCAAAGGACTTATGTTAAAAAAAAACTAATCTAGCTTTATTGGACAAGCTACAAAGCGCAGCTTTTAACCAGTTTTTAACCAAAGTTCCCAAATGAGCAATGCTACCTATCATGAAAAAATTTTCATGAAAATGATCATGAAAGATTTATGACCCTTAGATTATACTTAAAATAAAACACCACACACTGATCAGGTAACCCAAGAGTCATAAATTTTTCGTGATCAGTTTCATGAAAGTTTTTTATCCCTATCTTTTTTCTTCCCAAATGGGCACAATGATGTTATTATGTTGTTTTCCCATATCATCTTAGGCCCTTCAATTCTTCAACATTTCAATGGAGGACACTTCTACAAAAAGCTATTCACCTTCAGGCAATCACAACTGATGCACTTTATGGAATACCTAAGCTATGGAATATACGGATACATAGTCGGAGTCCGTACAGATATGGGCATAATGAAGGCTTCCGGCAAGGTCCCATGGATGATCGGCTTCCCTGTCGCCGCCCTTCCCACCGCATTAACTTACTCTGTCAACATCCTCCTCGAAAAATTTTATTCAATCAAATCACATTCAGTCAAATCACATCACCTCACCGGGATCTGCCCACTCGTCTCCTCGTCTTCTTTCCACGTCACCTCCATTCGCCTCGACGACCTCAACCTCCTGAACTCCGAGATGGGTCGCCTCGCTCTCTCTTCCTCCCTCGTCTCCTCCCTCTGCAGTTTCATCTTCAGAATTATCTCCAATTACAAGTACTACGCTGAATGGCCCGGTCTCAACCTCTCGGTGATGGAATACGCTGGGAGGCAGTCAGGCAGAATCATCCTCACACTTTTCATAGTCTTCGCGGTCCGGCCAGTGATGTTCTGGATGATAAGTAAAGTCCCCGAAGGGAAGAACATAAAGGAATCGCACTTCTTCACCATGGTTGTGATGTTATTCGAATGGTGCAAAAACTTAGCCTGTTCACGTCGATGGTGTTGTTGCCGGCGTACGTAGTGAATGCAGGTCATTTTGTGAATGTGTTTGATATAAATGCAGATAATTATACCGTTGCAGCAGTGATGATCACCATGAGTGCATACTTGGGGAAGCTTGTGGCTGCTGTAGTTCCAATGAGGTTTTGGGGGTATGCCTTATATCCTCTAGAGCGTTTTTTTTCTAAAGTTTTCTAGAATAGTGTATTGTGTGGTTAAGATTCAATGACAAGTCACATCAATTTTTCAACATGACTTGTCATTAAATCTCAACCACACAATGCACCACTTTAAGAAACTTTAGAAAAAAAAAAAACTCTAAAGGATCTTTACTCTTATAGGGATCCTTTCACGTTTGGACTCATCGTCAGCACCCAAGGCTTTTTTTGATCTTTTCTTTTTCAAACTTGCTCTGGGCTTCTGGGTATGCCAACTTCAACCCTAATCTTTATTTTTTATTAATTAAAATATTTATAATAAAAATAATAATTAATATGTTTGGTTTAAATTTTTTGAATTAATTTTTTTTTAAATTGAGTATTTTATTTTTCGTATTTTTTTGTTTTTAGAAAATATTTTTAAAATTTTATGCATTTTTTACTTTTTCAGATGTATCTTACTTAGATGTGTCTAAAAAGTAAAATATTTGTGAAAAAATATTTTAAAAAATTAATAAATACACAAAAATATTAAAATATACTGAATTTTCATACATATATATATTGTATTTGATAAAAAAAATTTAATTTTTTTTAAATGTATAGAAAGTAAAAATTTGAGTAAAATATTTTAAAAAAATCATTAAAAATAAAAAACACAGAAAACAAAAACTCAATTTAAAAAAAAAAAAAAACAAAGATGACCAAAAAGAATGAAAGTATTTGGGAATGACTTTTTGATTTTTTTTTTTTAATAAAAAAAAGATACAGAAAGTGAAGAAGATGAAATAAATCTTTGATCTTTTGTTTTTTTTTTACTTGGCTTTTTAAATATTTAAATATTTTTTTATTTCGCCAATTGAAATTTTAAATTTTATAACAAATAATTTCTTTTATTAATAAATCATCAAGTCAATTAACAGTTTTTAATGACAGCATGAATTTATTTTAATTATTAATAATTCAGGTAATTTTATTATTATATAAGAAAACAGTTAAAAATTTTATTTTTTCAATTAATTCTATTAAATAAAAAAAATTTAATAAGAGGGTATTTGTAATTTTAATCTCATAAAAAAATTCGTATTTTAAGCAAATCTCATAAAATATATTTATAATTTACCCTTTATCTATTTATATACACAAATTGTTTAAAGAGCCTCCCCAGGCCCTTCAAATGCAGCTAAACTTGAAGAATTTTGTTAAGATGTAACTCATTTGAGTAACTAAAATATGATAATATTAGTTATAATTGCTAACAAGTCTCATTTAAATAGTCTCTGGAAGATACTCTAAGACCTCAAACCTAATTATCCAATGCAAAAGTTATATATAAATCAAACAAATTTATATATATATATATAAGGTTAATTACACTTATAACTCATGTACTTTAATTTAAATTTTGCTTTACTCTCTATACTTTAAAATTTATATACTTAATCCCTTCACTTTAAATCTAGTTTCATTTTGACATTTTCGTCCAAAATTTGGTTAATTTTTCCTACGTACACACTTTAAGAGACTAACAAGTGTTCCAAAATTATTAAACTTTAATCTCTAACTTGAATGGAAGGAAAAACCAAAACTAGATCTTAGATGTATGGATTAAACTGTTCAATTAAAAATTAATTATAAGGATTAAAATAAAATTTGAATCAAATTATAAGGGTGAAAAGTATAATTAACTCTCACATATATATATATATATATATATTAGTGGTTGTAAACACAATGTTTGTGCTATGAAATCTACTGCAGTTGAGAGTTTTTTATTTATTTATTTTATTTGAAAAAATAACTTGGCATAACTGCTCTTATTTATCTATTAATATGTGAACATTTTCAGGAGTCAAATAGTGTTACAATGCTTTACAAACTTATTGAAAGCTTTATATAATAGTACATATATATGAAAAATTATCTATGAATAGAATTTTTTTATAAAATCTATGAATGAAAGAAACAATGTCATTCTTGAATATAAGAATAGAATTCATTTTCATGAGCTTTTTTTTATTATTTTCAAATTAAAAAACACACACACACACACTAAAGCTGCCACACAATTATGATTTAAAATTCATTGAAAATTTTGTGTTTCATCTGAGCAAATGAGATATATAGTAATATAATTCACTCAAGCTGCATCCATAATAAAATTCTCCACCATGAAGTAGAACTCTGTCTCACCTTTATACTACATTATGTTTCTATTTCCAAATCTTGAATTCTGATCTTTCTTTCAACAATATATGCAGATAATCAATGAAAAATTCTACTCCCTTATCATCATAATGCAAGTGTTGATAGTAGCTATTTCCACTCCTATAATCAGACACATTTATGATCCTTCAAAAAAATACATCAACTACAAAAGGAGGACACTCTTACCACTCTAGGCATGAACATGAGCTTCGAATGCTTGTATGTCTTCACGAAGAAGACGATGTTTTCAGCATCATGAACATCCTGAAAGCCTCTTATCCCCACAAAAAGAGACCTGTCGAAGCTTTTGTTCTCGACCTGATGGAGCTCATTGGCCGAGAAAATCCACTCCTCATCAACCACCAGTTGCGTAAAGTTCGCTCGTCCATGCTCAACCGAACGAACCGCATCATCACTGCCTTCCATCAATTTGAACACCCCAAGGGGATCAAACACCAACACTTCACTGTCATCGCACCTGACGCTTCGATGCACAATGACATATGTATGCTGGCACTTCAAAAAAGCGTGTCCCTATTGATCATCCCATTTCACAAATAGAGAGCATCTCGATAAGGGGGATGAAGAAAAATGTCCTCTAAGGCTCCATGGTCAGTTGGGATAGTTGTCGACAAGAAGATAGTTATGTACTGGAGATCTGATTGTCACAACGAGATCAAATTCAATGTTTGTGTGATTTTCCTAGGAGGACCAGACTCTCGTGAGGCACTAGCCCTTGGTATGCGCATGGTTGAGAACCCTGCCATTAGGCTTACCGTCATTCGACTGATTGCAGAAGATGATTTCATCACCGATTTGTTGGAGACTAAGCTTGATGTAAGAGCAATCTTCAAGCTTGAGAATTTATATAAAAATGACAACGGTATTCAGTATAGGGAAGTGATTGTGAACGACGGAACTAACACAATGGAAGTGCTCCACTCTCTTGATGATCAATATGACCTCATATTAGTGGGAAGAAGACTTGACATTGAATCCCCACTGGTGGCCGGACTCGCCGATTGGAGTTTTGTCCCAGAACTAGGAATCATCGGAGACATACTTGCATCCTCAGATATGAAGTGCAATGCATCAATGCTTGTACTACAGCAACAATCCACAGTCGAAGATTTGCTGCAAATTCAGAAAGAGTAAACACTACGTATAAGAGAAGTGTGTACAGTAATGTCTTAGATGAATTTCATTCATGCAATGTATCCACATTGAATGAGCTTTAACACTTCTAGTACAAATAAATTTTTCTATTCACAAACTTCTAAGGACTTCACACTACTAAACAGAAATCCAATTTCTTTCTTCCACGAATTTTTTCTTTATGAGGAATCTACACTTGTTGGGAAGTAGCAGAAAATAAAGACTCAAAAGATTTGTATCATAATTTCCATATGTATATCACCAAGATATATCAGTGAGTTTCACATATGAAATTTAAAACCCAGGGTTGCTGATTCAACAATTGCAACAAATGTCCCAACTACGGACCAATCTAGTGAGTTTCACATATGAAATTCAAAACCCAGGGTTGCTGATTCAACAATTGCAACAAATGTCCCAACTACGGACCAATCTAGGAAACGAACTTTTCTTTTAGATATGTAGGAATTGAACTTTGAAAGGGCGAAATCACATGTAACTCCTAATCCCCAAAATATATATATATATATTGAAAATATTCCAGTTTGGTAACGTTTATATTTATAAATTTCTATTTATAATTGTAAAAATTTTGAAAACTCTAAACAAAAACTCGTTTGGTGTTTTTTTTTTTTTTTTCATTTTCAAAAACTGAGACCAATTTACAAAATTAGCTAAATCCCTGTAACCACAAAAAATTAGTTTTACTTGTTTAGGGGGGAAAAAAAATTCATTCTTTCCTCCTTCCAACCCCTCCGACCACCACCTACTGCTCACCACCACCCACTGCTCATCACCACATCCAACCACCCCACCTCAGTCACCATTGCTAGAGAGCTCCGGCAACCTTCGGTAACCAACTCCAACGACCATCTCCAACTGCCAACCACCTCCGGCCGCCAACAATCATCTATCGCCAGCCACCAACTCCGGTGACCAACAACCACCGACAACCACTATTTCCGACTGTTGGCAACCAATTCCAACCACCATCTCTAGCCATCGATAACCACCTTTAGCCACGCCCTCTCATTTATTTTAAAAACAAGTTTTTAAAATGTGTACTAAACATGTTTTTGTTTTTGTTTTTGTTTGTACTAAAACCAAAAATAAACATGTTTAATGTTTTTCTCCAACAAAAAATAATAAACAGTAAAAATTACCAAACGACACCTTAAATTACAATGTCAATTTCTACCTACCAACACAAGTAAAGAAAATTTACCATTAACTAGATGCTATTTGTCAATATAGTTCAGTACAAGTATATAACTTTTGCTACATTGGAGGTCTAGCCTGGGGAAGGGGAGCATTGCCTGTGGTCTATGAAGCATAGAAATGGACATGTTGACACGGAAAAGTCCAAAAAAGTAGGGATTGGATGTTAATAATGAAAGATAGAACATCTATTAGAAGGCCTTCTAGGGTGATCGGAAATGCTTAAGTTGCTTTTAACTTACCTTCTTTTATATTAGTTGTGGAGGGAAAAAATATGAGCTCAATCCCAAACCCAATCACACTAGCCCAAAATAAAAAGAAGTCAGTCTAATCACGTCCCTAACAGCCCGCAGAGGACAACTGTCAACAACTTGGCATCCAATCAAGGCACATGGAGAGACAAACAAATATAAAAGATAACCTTTTAGAAGGCAGATCTGTAAAATAAAGGAGAGACGTCAGATTAGAAATCATCCAACAATAACAAGTGTAGAACAGACAAGATAGAGGCATAACTTGGGCCTAGTATGAGGCACAGTCATCCGATCAAATTGATCCTACGAACGTAATGCTCGGCGAGTTGGCCACTAACATCTGACATCATCCAGGACGTTCATGCGGCAAAGATCCAACAATCAAAGATAGGGGCAACTTGGCAAGTTGCCCGACCAAAGCCAGGTATAGGCAGAACCCTTCGATCAAGACGAGATCCGACGGATGAAATTTGAACTACAATAGCTATAAATAGGTAAGCAAGCAAAGCATAAAGGACAAGTGAGTGAATCCAATTCAATGCAATTATATTCAATCTTAATTAGCTTCCACTTCATAATTATTTCCCTTTTTAATAATCAGGGTACTAACTTAATCGTTGGAGTGTCCTCCCGATCTACCCTGGTAGGGAGTGATCACTAACGTTTGGTTTCTCTTTACAGAGTACAAAGGATTGGGCGCATCATCTCACTTTCCCCATTGAGTTAATTTCACCTTCCCCATGAGTAAAGGGCAACATGGATACGGCTCGGACACATACTGCTGGAAATCGGGCTTTTAGCGGCGTTTTAAAAACGCCGCGATATCTATCAAAAACGCCGTTAATTCATTTTGTGTACCAAACCAATAAGTGTACCAAAGCTCGAATACTTCTAATGATGATGATGATGATGATTCAGAAAACACCAAAGAGCAAACACCAAATCAGGAATCACATTCACAATCACAATCTAAAACTGTCTATTTTAGTTAATTAAGAATGATGACGAAACCATCCTACCATGAAAGAGGTATCTAATTTCTATGCTACTTTCATTTTATCATAGTAATTAATCACAACATTGAAGATTTTCCTACAAATGTGGTCATGATATATGCCAAGGATTCCTTGTCCCAAATATTCCTGTCCTTTTGTTCCAAATCACTCACAACCATTAGATATGTCTTGAGATTCTCAAATCTTAAGATTCTCATATGATGGGGCAACTTGGCAAGTTGCCCGACCAAAGCCAGGTATAGGCAGAACCCTTCGATCAAGACGAGATCCGACGGATGAAATTTGAACTACAATAGCTATAAATAGGTAAGCAAGCAAAGCATAAAGGACAAGTGAGTGAATCCAATTCAATGCAATTATATTCAATCTTAATTAGCTTCCACTTCATAATTATTTCCCTTTTTAATAATCAGGGTACTAACTTAATCGTCGGAGTGTCCTCCCGATCTACCCTGGTAGGGAGTGATCGCTAACGTTTGGTTTCTCTTTACAGAGTACAAAGGATTGGGCGCATCATCTCGCTTTCCCCATTGAGTTAATTTCACCTTCCCCATGAGTAAAGGGCAACATGGATACGGCTCGGACACACCACAAATAATTATATGCTGATATAATAGTATCTAAGAATATACTATATTATATAGTTATATATGAGCATAATTTATACAAAATTAATTACTTTATACGAAGTAAATCTTGCATCGAATTCCCTTTCTGGATTTAATAGCATTGAGTGAAAAACATTAAACGCATTTGACATTCCAAATTTTTAATGTCCTGTTTGTGCTTACATTTGTTAATGTAATTTATTTTTTTCAAATCTATTCAGGATATCTATATGTATATAACTCTTTTCTTTTTAATTTCTTTTTCTACATGGACTACGCTTAGTGTATTGATAAAATTGCTGCTATCGGATACAGTTATGCTACTGACACAAATTTCATAGAAAATCACTTACAAAGCATGCAAACTAAGCACCTATGCAAGTTTCTGTGATTTCTTTTTTTTCCATGACCAAAAGAAGAGTTGATCAAAAGGCTTTGAGTATGTACTCTGATTCTATTTGCAGATTGATCTCCACAAGAAGGTATAAGTTCATCATCCATCAAACCTCCCTTATTGCCAGATTTTCATACTCCTCATCGGACATAGCTGATTCCTCATCAACTGAACCTTCCATCTGAAAGTATAATCAAAGTTAGTACAGAAAGTGTTCATCTGTTTTGGGGATAGGAGTACCTATATAGAACTTTATCACATTCACAACATGGACAAAAAGTCATATTCTATTGGCCTAGCAATTTTGATATGCTTTTGTATTTCCTTTCAATTTCCGCTTTTCTGGATAACAGTTTTTGAAAACGTTTGCCAAATAAGTTTTCATACCAGTTTTCAATTTCAAATAAGAAATCCTACTAGCAAGGCTCAAGCTCACTTTTGATTGCCATGGTAATTTTGCCACCAATTAAGTACCTCAAAGTACACAACTATGAAACACAAATACAGACAAGGGAGGGACACACAACACAGATACGACACGACACGACATGACACAACACAACACAACACAACGCAACACAGACACATCAACACAGCAAATTCCAAAAAGTAGGGCACGGACATGCTTTGGACACACCACAGATAATTATATCTTGATATTATATTATCTAATAATATATTATACTATATAGTTACATGTGTATAATATATACAGAACTAAATAATTACTTCATACTAAGTGAATCTTGTATCTGATTCTCTTATATGAATTTCAAGACTACTGGACCATAATAGTTAAAAATCAGACAAACAATATTCAACATATATAATCACAACATCTCCCTTATCCTCCGTGTTAGTGTATGAATGTATATGTTTTCAACCATTAGACTTTCAACCATTACAGCTCCATTATGGCCCCTTTCAGTGATTGACATTTTGGGATGACTTTAGGTCCTAATCTAATAAATGCGGTCTGTAGACTGTCTATAATCTCTCCTATATATAGGAGGGGTTTGCACATTGATTCATATAACATATCACACATAATACATACATACATATATCTTTCATATTTCTCTCTCTCAACCATTATTATTGGTTTCAAGATGGTATCAACCACTAGAAAACACAGGCCTTGTTTGGTTTGTGTTTCTCAAAAAATTTTGGGAAAAATTCTCCACAAATAAGTTTTCAAAAGTAATCAAACCAAACAAATTTTCCCAAAAAAAATTTCCAAAACTTGTTTAGTTTACAAGTTTTCCAAACAAATCTCTCTCATACACATCAAATCAATCACTTTTTCCAAAACTCTCTCTCAAAATAATTTTTCAAAACATCTTTTGAAAAAAAATCAAACCAAACAAATTTTCGTACTTTTTATCTCAAAACATGTTTCTCAAATACAAACCAAACAAGCCCA